GAGAGAGAGAGAGAGAGAGAGAGAGAGAGAGAGAGAGAGAGAGAGAGAGAGACTGACTAGAGAGAGCATACCTTAACATAATAGAGGCCATATATGACAAACCCATAGTCAAGAGCTCAGAGGGGAACCACAGTCGGTAATCAAGTCAGTAATGACCATGAAGGCTGACAGTCATCCTGCAATGCACAATACAGCAAGACAGTCCCCAACCCTACTCAAAATGCCAATAGGACCTAGACTGAGGAACCCTGATCAACAAAGAGGACTGTGTTCAGAGCGCTGACAACTTACCAGTGCCTACATCACTGAAAAAACTACTTCCCTTATCACAGCAACCAATAATTATCAATTCTCCTGAGCCCTCTCCCCATCCAGGATAAAATGTTGACAAGACCCCCCATCATGTTCAAGTAACCACAGCTACTGTAAGTTTATGAGTGCAATGGTCATTCCATGAACAGAAGACACTGGCACTGAGTAGGTGCTGGGAGGTGGGTAGACACATGTCTCACTAAGGCTAAGTACTCAAAAGTCACTTAGTCTTAGCACTGACCTATAAGTCTCTACATTAATCACTGCAAAAATAAAGCTAACTCTAAACACTTACTTAGGAGGCAGTCTGATGACATGTGCATTTAACAAAATAACAGTAGCAATGTCCTCCATCCCTTAGGGTTGTGGGATTCTGATCAAAGAGACATTGAGGTTTCTTCAAGAAAATAGCTTTGAATCTTAGCAGACTCAGCCAAACATTTGTTCAAAAGAACCAAGAACCTGAGAGACTCTGGGTAGAAACCTGCTGGGAGCCAAACCTAGGAAATTACCTGCTATTCTGGGAAACCTAGTCTCAGGTCCCAGGAACTTAAAGAACGTCTGGCATTTCCTAGGAGCTGGGATGGTCTAGGCCAATAAGCATATGACAGTGAGATGGTCTAGGGCAGTAAGCATTCAATAGTGGGATAGCCCTAAGCAACGACCCTCACCCAAACTTCCCGGTTTGCTGTGTCTTTATAACCTGCACCCGAAATTAAAGTTTCAGAACTTGATCAGAACTCCAGACTTGCTCTCATTCCTTGTGTCTCTTGTCCCTTCATTCTTTCGCCCCCTTCCCTAAGGTCTCATCGAATCCCCGTGGGCCGGGGCAGAAACCACACCACCTCTCATATGTCAAGCAATGAAGAGTTTCTCAGGAAATGTCACAAGGTCCCATATAAGCATTTTGGCAGAAACTAAACCCCAGGGTGGTCTCTTTGCCCTTTCCCAAGGCCTTCGGAAAGGTTTTGTCAGTAAAGAAGGTATGGGGGAGGGGAGAGGTAAAGTTGACACTCATTCAAAGACATTGTTTGGCTTTTTTGTTTTCCCAAGGCTCTACAGCACCCCAACACACTAGGCCCTATCACCTTTGGCGCCATAGTGTCTGACTAGGTTTACAGTTCCAGGCGTGAATTCCTTCTTGTGGAGCAGGCATCTGATCTAAGCAGAAAATGCTTAGTTAACCCCAGAACAAGCATGCCTCTATTATAGCTGGACATATCTTATCTGGCAGGTTGGTATCCTAGCTCATGGGGGTTCACATTCGAGTAAGTCTCTTTACATTGCTTTTCCTCCAGTAATCTACACAGAACCTTCTGGCACTGTGAACTCTAGCCAACATGGAGTATGTTTTTAGGTCAGTTCCAGTCAGATTTCTCAATGTGTTACAATCAAAGTGTGTAATATCTTCAGCAACATGGTCTTACCATCTATTTCTGGCTAGTAACCAAGAATGGCAAAGCCTCCCTGACCAACAATGAATAAGGAGATACCTCTAACCTAGCTTTGGGATTTTTGTTTAATAACCTGTGACTCCTTGGAAGCAGCAGTATCCATCCACGCAAGGTACTTCCATGAAATTTTTCTCTACTCTTTAAAAGGAACACTTACAGAAGAATGTTTTCACCTGTATTTTTATATATCTTTAGTTTTAGATAACCTTCCCCCACTGTCTTGACTCACTCGCACCCCCACTTCCACCCTCTCCCTGTCTTTGTACTACCTGTGTTTCAATATCCCCCTTCTTTCTGTACTTCCTTAAGCCCCTTAAAATATTTTTCTGGTCCTAAGATAAAGCAGCTGCTTGTGTAATTTTAAAAGTTTGTTTACTTTTTAAGTCTTAAAGGAGAGCACAGCACACTTGCACCAGTGACCCACAAGCATTTGACAGAGTCTTGCTTACAGTAGATACTGAAAAGACTATCTACTGCTTTTCATTTTCATCAGCTTTCCAGGCATAAGCAGAGAACTTTCTTAGTAGACGTAGAATGTAATATTGCTGGGAGTTATCCACCCCACAATCTCTGTTTGTGTTTTTTTTTTTTTAATTTTTATTTATT